GGTAGCAGAGTTAGGCACAGCTGGTGTTACACAGACTGTCTGCTTTCCTAAAGATGATGGCTTTTCCACACCTCTCCTCTGGGAGGTTTGCCCTTTGCAAGCTCTGTGAGCAAGAGACCTCCAGAAGCAGAGGCAAGTGCTCTGATGAGACAACCTCAGCACTGCAGAAGGGCCCCTCTCCTCTTCTTCAGCAACGGCAGGGTGGAGGGCTCCAGGCATTGCCCTGGTTGCAGCGTGAACACAGACATCCCTCACCCTTGTAGCTAATTGCCAGATGCTGTGCTTGAAAAATTGTTGTGGAGCCGTCACCACTCTCAGAAGAGATATTTTTACCTGTCTGCCTGCTAGTCACACTATTTTTTTTTCCTTTTAAGAGGATTCACAGTTCACTGCTCAGTCCTGCTTCTCTCGCAGGAGCTATTCCGAGCTGTAAGCACATGGGTTGCTAAGTGACAAGCTGGCATGGAGGGCTTGCTCGGCATTTGTACCCCTCTGTGTTGTGCCTTAAGTAATTGAGGCATTCCTTTCAGAAAGTACACGGAGCTTCATCATCTGATGCTTCACTCGTGAAAGCAACATTATAACCCACCCCAGCTACTACTGGGGATAATTAGAGTATGGCTGAGTTGGCTGTCAGCATATCTCCACAACACCCCAGAGAACTTCCAGGCTGACAGAGTAGCAGGACTAGTGCCTGGGGCAGGTCATGTGTTGCTCCCAGTCTCATACAGGAGGGTCACTCACAGGACATGTGCTAGTACTGAAAGGGGCCCAGCCCATTTTACTTGTGGGGAAAAGGAGGTCCAGGACAGTTTGTACCGTCAGCTGATGCCTGAGTGATGGCTGGCTCAATGGGATGCAAGGCAGGTCAGAGAGGAATTGCCCTCTGGGTCCTTCTCTGATCTTAGCAGTTGTTCCAGGCTGTGCTCTGGGTTAGTTATCTGGGAACACTTTGGATTCCCATGCCCTAGTCTGAAAGCTAGCCTTTCACCAGCATGTGAACTCCAGGCTTCAAGTAACTGGTGATGGGGGTCAGGAAGAGGGAAGCACCTTCCCATTAAAAAAGACTCACCCTAGGGAACTTGAAAAGCAAAGGACCAAGGTGACTCTGTGCTGCCTTGGTCTCATGCCCCCACACATAATCTGGAATGGCAGCAGCTGCTAGCTCAGCCAGTTCATTTCTCTCTGGTGAGTGTGAATTCAAAACAAAAAATCCCAAAGAAAAGACATCACTTGTGCACATTTCATGGGACTTATAGCCCTGGGACCTACATAGTGTTGTGAGTGAGCTTTACTTTGTTCCTTTGGCCACCAAGGATTGTAAGTGACAGGATTTTGTGGAGCTTCAGAGGTGCCCAGAAGTGGGCTTAGATTTGGGCTGGGGATTTAGCTCAATGGCATAAGTGCCTGCCTTGCAAGCACATGGTCCTGAGTTTGATCCCTGGTACCGCAAAAAAAAGCACAAGAATATTTATAGCTGCTATAACCACATGTTATGTAACCACATGTAAATATGAGGACTTGCCTATTTTACATGTAAAAGGTAACAAGGCCTCTTGGCTGCAGTAGTTGCTCTTTGGGGCCTTCTTGTGTATCATGGTCTGTGCTGGGTATCTCTTTGTGGCAATTCACTGGCTCCTCCTAACAAATTCCCTGGGTGAGGGGACCTGTCATTAGAACTGTTGTACTCATGAGAGGACTGATGCTCATGTCATTAACATGCTTTGTCCAAGAACACGCAGTTGGTGTGTAGCCTCCCTTTCCACCAACCTCTGATCTTCTGCCCTCTCTCACCCCATTCCAGCCACCTTGCTGTTCTTGATTCATTTCTGGAGCATGTGTCTACTCTTCCTTCTGCCAATACTCTTGTATCATTTGGGCCTGCTCTCCAGTGTCATCAAGAAACCTTTCCTGATTCCCCCAACACATTGCCTCAGCATGAAGGAGCAGCTTACTAGCTTGCTCTGCTCTTTCTGTGTTTTTTTTTTCTCTTAATAGCACATTATATTCAACATTTACTCCCTTTTTTAAGCATCTGACCATCCCAAAAGAAATGTCAACTGTGAGAGAAGACACTTGGCTTGTTTAGTTTGCTGCTATATCCTTCACACCTAGAACAGGTCCTGGTGTACAGGAGGCACTCAGGAAATATATGTCAGGTTGGTAGGCCACTGAGTGAATGAATCAATTAATTAAATGGGACTCTCAAACACAGCCCTGACTGACTTTGAAGCCCATTCCCTATACCCCAACACCCAACTGCCTTATTCCTGTGTCCCCCATCTCTGCTGAGTCTGACTCAGTGGGAGGTACTCCCCAGATGAGTCTGTGGTCAGAGTGTCAGAAGGACCTAAGTAGTTTTGAACAGTTCACTTTCTGTCCCTGAGCCTCACTTTCCACATATACAAAATGAGATTGTTGAGTCAGCTAATTCCTAGGGACCCTAAAGTTTTAATTGCTCAGAATCTGGCTTCACTGCTGCCTGAACATAGTCACTAGGCACAGAACTTCCCAATCATGGTTGCAGCCCAGTGCCTTGGCTTGCAGGGTTAGGCCAGCACTTTGCATCTAGTGAACCTGCTGGCGTGGAGGTCCCTAAACCCCACCCTACAATGAAGGATGCTAGTGTGCATCAGTAATGTCATGAGGAGAAGCCACAAACTCACATAGTACTGAGCATGGCCCTATGGTTGCCAGGATGCTGCTATAGGTGTCCTTCTCTGCTTTTGCAGAGTGCACTAATTTTGTCCTTGAGTCTTCCTAATCTACAATGGTGCTCTTTTTTCCCCCAGCCCTTTCTGATGTGGGTGACTAGTGCTTCCACTCACCAGGCTATTTATGGAGAAACATGTGCCTCAGTGGGTCAGCATCAGGATAAATTGTGCCTCAGTGGGTCGGCATCAGGATAAATTCTGGTGCTGGAGGTGTGGCTCAGTGGTAGAGGCATCCCTAGCAAAACACACATGCTTTTAACTTCTACAGATTGGCGGGAATTTCCCTTGTTACCCTCCAGTTGCGGCTTTATGATCTGTAAATCAGTTCTAATGCACTGCAGATTGTTCTGGTAAAATCTTGTTTTAGATAGAAAAGCTGGAGAGAGGCTCTGAGCCTATGCATCTCGGCAACTTCAGTCTATAAAGGGACCTCAACGCTTCTTGGTTCTGACCTTTAAAAAAGTTCTCATTGTGAGCTGTAGGAAAGATGGGGTGTCCAGAGAAGTAGCTGTTGCATATAGCTTAAGTTTACTCCACTTGAGTGCTCCAGGTCAGTGACCTGCTCTGTGTGTGGGAGGGAGCATTCATCCTGATAACCCAGGCATAAACCTTGGGGCTTCACTTGTATAACATGAGGAACATGGCAAGACTAGAGGAAAACTGAGAGGTCTGTAGACAGGCAAGTGTCACCCTGAGGCCCTCCAGGAGAGTGGAATTCAGTTGACATACTGTAACATGGATTCCCAACACACATCCAGTATTCCCAACAGCTCCTTGTAGGGAATTCTGAGATCTTTAGGAAGGTAGACTCTGTCCTCCAAAGCACAAAACCCGACTCTTCCTGAGGAGACAGGGGGCAGCTGGAAAAAACTCACTGCTGCCCTTGGATGAGGAGGACAAGAAAGTGTCCCCTGGTAATGTGATCCATGGCCTGACCAGGGGAGGGAGTTCTGCAGATCACAATGGACAGTTATCCCCACTTTCTAGGCTTCATAGCTTCATGTGTAATAGGACCAGGGTGACTAGGTCCCCTAGACGGCTGTGTCTTTGCTGGAGTCAGCAAGGAGGCTTGTCTGGGTCAAGGCCAGCCCCATGCCCTTCTGCTGCACACTGACCTTCCCTGTGCTGTTTAGGTGGCACAGACATATGAATAGAACACACAGTGAATCCAGCTTCCAGAGACAGCTCTTTACCTTAATAAAGTAATTACAGAGCTGAGTAATTTACATCCCTAGAAAGATGCAGGGCAACTGCAGTCTGGGGTGTGTATGTGTGTGTATGTGTTTAATTTTAAATCCTCCAACCTCCCCTTAATGAGGAGGTGCTCTGAAACATAACAGCATAGAAGGCTTCTTCAAAGAATTAATTTTCTTGGTGCTTTATTTCTTTCAGGGAAAGCATGAAAGACAAATGAGGCTTTGCCTCCCCTGCCTGTGTTGTGCAGACATTATCTGCTGTAAAGCTGTCACTGAAGGATGGAGAACCAGCTTTTGGCTGCAGTGGCCCTCAGATAATGTCAGTGCTGAGCAATGACCCAGAATTTTTGGCACCAAGTGAACACTTCTAGGCTCTGGTGCCAGAAGCCTTAGCTGAGCCTGCTCAACAGCTCCTGCCAGGGAAATAAAGGGGCCTCAATAGTTAGTATCCAGGGAACTCATAGTGAGGGCTCTAGAGCTTTTTTCTTTACAGGTTATGGGGCTGGGGGAGAGTTGGGGGAATAGGGATACAAATGCTAATGACCTATTGAATCATCTATAAATCCTTAAAAATGTCAAAAATGATTCAGCAAGCCTGTTAGGCCCAAGGTTATGAATTTCTGTCAAGTTCCTGGTGATTTTGCTGGCCCTTGGAGAGCATTTGGAATAGGAAGAACCTTGAGAAGGATCTCACCAGGTAGTTTTGGCTGAATAGAACACAAGGCAGGGGAAGGGAACCTTGACCACAACCATGGCTACTCTGGAACGACGGGAAAGCTATGGAGATCTCTAGAGAGTCTGCAGTATTCTGGTTTCTGTAGTATGGAATAGAGCAGCGTCATGGTGGGCGTGGTGTATTGTGGTTTTGCCCCCACTAGGTTTCCTTTCTGATGATCCTCAGGTAAGAACACTGGGAAAACTGTGTGTGTAGGTTCTGAGCTCCTCATCAGGCACCTTGATGGGGAAGGAGGAAGTGGTGAGCATTCGAGGCCCCTGACAGCCCCAGTGTGTATACCAGGGAGTTGATTTGTGTCTGTGCTGGGCTCCCAAGTTCCCTGACGTACTAGCTAATTCTCTCCTTCCTACCTAGTTTTACAGGTCCCTGGGTGAGAAAAATTTGACAGCAGCTTTGTTGCGCCTTCTCTGTGTGCTGGGGAGCAGGGCTACACAGCCCCAGTGGCACCCATGCCGAAGAACAGCAAGGTGACTCAGCGTGAGCACAGTAACGAGCATGTCACTGAGTCGGTGGCTGATCTGCTGGCCCTCGAGGAGCCTGTGGACTATAAGCAAAGTGTTCTGAATGTAGCTGGTGAGTCAGGTGGCAAGCAGAAGGCAGCGGAGGAGGAGCTGGACGCAGAGGACCGGCCAGCCTGGAATAGCAAACTACAGTACATCCTGGCCCAGATCGGCTTCTCTGTGGGCCTTGGGAACATCTGGAGGTTTCCCTACCTGTGCCAGAAAAATGGAGGGGGTAAGAGGTAGCCTCGATTGCAACTGGGTGTCCTGAAAATGGGCTGGGTCTGGGGGTAAAAAGGAGCACTTATTCCCTGAGGTAGCTTATACAAGTGGAAGCTTAAGGTTCCAGAGTAAGACCCACAGAATAGCCATCATGGTGGCTAATGCCTATCTAGAGGCTGTGGGCCATGATGATGAGAATGTGGAATGTGAACCCAGAAACCTGGGTATAGATCCCAGCCTGGCCATTCAGCTTTGGGACCTAGTACAAGGTGCCTGACCTCTCTCTCTGTGCCTCCTCTGTAAAATGGTGATGATAATGGTTCCTCCTTACAGGATAACCAGAAGGATTAAATGAGCTCTACACAGAACCCAACTTATAGTGAAGAGCAGCTGTTGGCCAATTATTATCACATTTTTACTGGATGTTGGCACTGTTCTAAGCACTTAAGGGAAATTAGACCCCAAAACCTGAAATGCTGATATTTGAGCATCTTGGAACAACTGAAGCAACAATTTCACATGACTCAACCACTGAATCTCCTCAGCAACCTTATGCAGAGAAGGAGTTGTCACCATCTCCACTTTAGAGACCACAAAAATGAGGCTCAGGATGGACAGGTGACTTGTTCAGGGTCATGTGTGACCAAGGTTTCAGGAAATGACAAAATTAGGGCTCTCTTGGACAGCTTGGCTTGAACCTGAGCATTTCATACCACTGCCTGCCCACAGGGGCCTCATGCTGTGCCTGAGTACAAGGTCCTCTTAAGGATCTCCCTGTGTCAGGTGTCAAACCTTGACCACCACTTTGGCCCCCAGGGCAAGAAGAAGCCCTGTGGCACTATCTTTGAACACCTAGATGAAAAGCCTAGAATTTTCCAAAGGCAACCTACTTTCAAACATGTGACAGTTTACTGAAGAGAAACAAAGAAACTGCCACTAGGCTGGAAACAATGATGTTTCTAATCCCAGTTCTCTGCTCCTGAGAAAGCCGACCAGCAGGAAGCTTCCCAGTTCCTGAGTTCCCTGCCCCTCAGACTACCACACTTCAGCCTAATGGGTGACCAAAACTTTGCTGTGATTTTAAACTAGCTCTTCTCCCTGCTCCAGAGATTGTCTCCATGCAATCTGTTCCAAAGACACAACCTGATTTAGGGCCCTTCCCCTCCTCTCCTGGACACATTCTCTGCTGTGTTCAAAAGGCAAGGTCTGGCTGAGGCTTTTTTCCTTCCCAGTTATACCAGATGCTGTCATCTTTCTATCCACACACAGCATATTTGCCACATGGCCTCCTTGCTTGAAAGATCTTTGTAACATTTTTCTGTAAGTAACTGCCAATCAGAGCTTTTGGTTCTATATGGCAAGGTCACTGTATTGAAAAGTCCAAAGCAAGATATAAACATAGTGGATGCTGTCCATATGGCTTGTGGGATGTTAAGAAGAGTCTGAGGCACTCAAAATGGTTTGGAGGACACATGGCATTTGGAGACTTAGGAAACTGTTTTATTCTGGCTGAGGGGATCAGTGTTGTCTGGGCACTTGGTGCTGAAGCACAGAGTTTCTCTTACCACATCACCGAGCGTGCACACACACACACACACACACACACACACACACACACACACAGCAGTGTTCTGGTCTACTCTGTTCACAGCATCCCCAGACAATCACCATGGCACCAGACAGCCAGCAGCAGTCCCAGAAGAAAACCATAGTCAATTCTCAGGATGCTGCACTCACCATTCCACATTCCTGCCTTCATTATTCTTCTATCCTCTGCTTCCTGCACCTCCTTTTTATCTATTCTGTTAACTGTCCTATATTTTACTGGTCATTTTAAATGTTTAGAAGGAGGCAAATTATCACAGGAGGAAGCAGCTGTTTGACCTAAAAGTTGACACCATGGTTTTGAGCCATGCATGATCTGACCATGCTTTGCTTAATTCTAGATGGAAACTTTGAACTCTGTTTAGCTCTATCAGTTACTGGCAGTTTCTTTATTTGGTATCCTCTTTTTTTTCTGTTTATTTTATTAGAAAACAGGAAATGTTCTTTAAGTTCTTATGATAGGTAACTAATTTACCCCTTTACAGTAACCCTAAGTGATAGGAATAGGGTTGATTTACATGAAATGGTATTTCTGTAAGTCAAAAATGGTCAACTATCAGCAATTTCATACAGTTATATCCTAATATTTTTAATCCTCCTTTTTTTTACACAAGTGATAAAGGCACAGAGAAAGCAAGTAATTTACTCAAAGCCATGCAGCTACTTATATCACAGAGCCAGGACTCAAGTCTGAGAGGTCTAGCTTTAGGATCTAGGTCTGAGCTGCTTCTTAACCCATATCCCAACAGATTGGGGCCAAGCAGTCTTTAAAACCCCATGAATGAACTCAGAGTTTTTCAGAAGCAAGATGTAGAGTGTAGATTGAAACATAGACTGTTTCATAGAGATCCAGGGAATCACAGAATCCAAGCTTTACTTGCCTATGGCTACATTCTGCTAAATTTCCCAATTCCCTGTGTGGTGCTCCCAGCTGCCCAGACCTGAGGCCCCAGTGCCTACTGGAACATTAAAAGAGATCCAATTGTGTCTTCAAGTTACATTTTGTAAAGTAGAAGAGTGTGGTCTTGCATTTCTAAGTGATATTAGCAAAGATTTTATGTAAAAAATACTTGGATTAACCACAAATTCTGCACACACAAACTATATACAGCCCCTTGTGCACTCTGGTCATCTGAACCTTGGTGTGGGCAAAGACCTGCTGTTAAAGTCAGCATCCTGCAGACTAGCTGAAGTGGAACAGAGCCTGAATGGTTAGGGGCCAAGGTTCAGTCTTTGTCACAGGGTCATTCTCATACAGCTCTTACCTGGACTCTCTATCCAGTTCTTTGATGGAGGTGGGTATATAGAAGCATCATACAAGATGCCAGCTGTGTTAGTTACTTTCTTTCACTGCTGAGGCACACCAAAATTAAGGAAGGAAAAGTATATTTAGCTCACTGTGGAGGTTTTAGTCCATAATCAGCTGGCTCCAAGGCAAGGTAGCATAGTACAGGGGCAACACTTCAAGGCAGCAGAAGATAGCAAAAGCAAAAACGGGGAGAGCAAGCCTCTTTTCCTCCCTTATATTGTAAGCAGGCTACTCCCCCCAGGCCTTCTTCCACCTGCAGATGTAGCTCTCACAACATCTCCATGCCCTCCTCCTGCTCAGGATGAGGATGTTTATAAAGTGAGGCACCCCTGCTGAGTCACTTAAACTTCCAAACTTCTTAAATTGACACGATGAACAGCATCCTAGAGTGATGTGCACACTTAGGATGTAGAACTGCTGAGTTACTTAGTTAAGCATCTAGACTTAAATTGATACAATGTACCAACCTACTTTGCCAACACCTTGTTACCCATCTGCCTGCCCATCTTACCCCATCCAAGCTCCCTAGGACAAAACACAAAACCAATGAGGCTATTTCCATTTACCTTCCCACAGCAGATCCTGCCCACCCAAACCAAATACTGAGTTGAAGAGAGACCAAAAAAGATCTACAAGTCCTTAGGCCCTATCTTCATTAAGTACCACTATGGGACTGCTTGTTAATGACACACTGAATATGTGTATGTGGCAAATTAGATACTTGTATAGGACTCAGTAGGCCACTTCCCCTGGAAGACTTTTCTGGCAGTTCCAGTTGGACCCCAGCTACTCCTTAGACATCTATGTGGTCAGTTGGCCCCAAGAAACAAGTCTGTGATGAGTGGTTACATGCAAGTACTGATACTGCTCATGTGTATCCTAGAGTCCTGTCTTCCTATTCCAGTATGCCCACTACCCGAGCCTGGCATAGAGAAGATCTGCACTAGGTATCTGAATGTTGCCAAGTGCCAGGTTTTATGCACAGGAAGTGTCAAATCCAGTATCTGTTGGCAGATTGGGCACATGTAGGGGGCATGCCATGTTACAGAAGCAGAACAATGTGTCTAGGCATGCCTCTGGAGACCCCTGACTTGTGAGGCTTGGTTTGGAAGTGCTGGGTGACCATCAGGGCCCTGGTGAGGCTGGCAGGCCTGACACTGTTTGACACTGGCTGACAGTGCTGCTAATAGGACTGGGTTGCTGGCACAGCTCTCTATGGGATGCATTCGTCCGTGTCTGGATGTGGCTTTAATTCTCTTGCTAAATGCCCTGTCACTTAGAATCGAGATTGTGCCTACAGTGAGGTTTAGGCAGCAAGATTAATTTATCATCTGGAATCTGTAGCAAGATCCATTCTATCTTTTATGATCCTCCTGGCTGTGCTTTGCTGAACAGCTAATTTTCTTCTGTTCCTCCTAGTTAACTGTGAATTAATGAAAGTGCTGGTCAGAACCCCTCTCCTTGGAGAGTTTCCAAACCTGCTTCCCTGGAATTGTCCAGTCTGCTGTGTCAGCATCCGGTTCAGATGTGGGCAGGCTAGACCCATGAGGGCATGTGAGCAGGGTCTGTGTCCTCTGGGCCATTGCCCTGTGAATGGGAAGAATGTGGACAGGTGTCCACAGTCTTCTGAGGTGACTATGTCTGTCTGCTTGTACAGTGGATCTCTGAGAGGCATGGAGATATCATCTGTCTCTGAACCTAGTCTGATGAGCAAGAGGCCTTTAATACACATATGATTCCTCCTTTAGCATTTTGGAGAGTCAAAGAGAAGAAGAATCTGGAAGGGCTATTATGAGATGGGTCACAGGCAAAAAGAGCCAGGCCATTCACAGCAGCGCCTCAGGCCTGGGGACAATGTGCAGGTGATCCAAGATGTGGCAGAGACTGCAGGACATACTGCCGCCCCTTCTTTTACTCTGCTGTTGTGCTAAGTCATCCTCTGACCCCTCTTCCCCTGTCTCCACAGGTGCCTACCTGGTGCCCTACCTGGTGCTGCTGATCATCATTGGCATCCCTCTCTTTTTCCTGGAGCTGGCTGTGGGCCAGAGGATCCGCCGTGGCAGCATCGGTGTGTGGCACTACGTGTGCCCCCGCCTGGGAGGCATTGGCTTTTCCAGCTGCATTGTGAGTCCAGGGTTGGGGGCAGGCACTAAGCAGGAAACAGAAGAACTACTGGGGAGGAGGTCACCAGGTTTACAGGCCAGAGTCCTGGGCCCGAACAGGAATGGCAAGAGAACCAGAATCAGCTGGTACAGTTGCTTTTCCAAGGCCACAGTCACTATATTTCCTAAACTGAGAGGACCACATTGCCTTAAACAACATCTATTTGCAACATGCTATTTGCAGTTGATGCAAAGGTAGAAAAGCCGTGGCATGTTCACAGAGCAGCCCTAGGACATCTCTGCCAGGGTTCTCTTGGGATGTGTGGGCCATCCCAGATATCCATCTCTGCTTACCAGCCCTCAATTCCCACAAGAGTGGTCTGCTGCTACTGAGAAGGCCTCCATAAGGGAGGCTCCCCATAAGGGAGCTCTCCTCTCCATACCCAGATTGGCTACAACAAATCCCTGCTGATAAAACGTTGCTTTCAGAGAAACTCCTTAGGTCCTCCCTCAGAGTCCAACATAGTCTTATTTTTAATAAAATTCTCCCAAGCTTAGTCATTGTGTTTCCAAGAAATGAAAAGTGATCTCTTTCTAGGGGCAGGCTACTAATCCTACCAAAGAGAGTGTAACATCCTGAAAAAGAAGAGAACATAGGAAAACAGTAGTCCACAGTATCTGAAAAAGCTTGACTGCCTGGGACCACTTTCTGTAAGGGCAAATGCCTTTCCTGCTCATGCCTCGATGGTCCTGGAAACAGCTCCCCTCAGAATCCTGAGTCCTCAGGAAATGACAAGATAGGGCTTCAGGTATCTTAGAGGAATTTCAAACTGAAAAGGACTAGCCTTTTTAGAGTCTATTGCTTAAAAGACAAAACTTTAATAACTAAAGAATTCTTTTGTGGGCTGCCTCAGTTCCTTTGCCACCACACCTCTGTGTTCTAAAGTGTTGGCTTGTGCTACTGGGCCTTGGTTGGAGTGTGGGTAGGAGCGACATTGCCTGCAGCCTCAGTAACACTGCCCTGTGCCTCGTCTTCAGGTCTGCCTTTTTGTTGGGCTGTATTATAATGTGATTATCGGGTGGAGCATCTTCTACTTCTTTAAGTCCTTTCAGTATCCGCTGCCCTGGAGTGAATGTCCTGTCATCAGGAATGGGACTATGGCAGGCAAGTGTGGGGCCCTGAAGTACCCTAGTTGTGAACTCCAGTCAGCCATACTCCAGGAAAGAGTCTAACAAGTTTAGTGCACAGATTTGGATTTCGTGGGCTCATTGTGTTGCCTTGGGCATGTTAACCCCCCGGCCCTTCCTTCCCTTTCCCCAGTGCAACTGAACTCTTTCTGGCCTATCCCACAGGGTTTCATAGGCCACTCGATAAAATGAGTATAGCTAAAATGGGGAATTGTGGCTCTTGTTTAGTTGTTCTGAACTACTCTGTGTTATTCCAGTATCACACTATCTGGAAAAAATCTCAATTCTCAGATAATTCCCAATCTTAAGTCCCTCAAAGTTCTGGGTAATTATAACCCACTTCATAAAGAGGAAAACTGAGGCCTGGAAGCTACTTCCTCGTGTTCACACTACCCATTCAACCAATGATCTGGGATGAAAATCCAGGTTTCCAACTCCTAGCTCAGGACCTTCACCTGGGAACCTGTAGGCCAATTCAACCTGGATCTTCCTATCTCCCACAGCTAGACATGGGCAGGAGGTGGTATGGGTGAGAATTTAGCCAGGCCATGTAACTTGAAGTCTCCCAGGTCCCATAAAGGGCCCAAGATTGGCCAGGATCTGCTAGATTATGGCCAGTCCAGCATCTCCTCCACTACCCCTCACTCACCACTGTTAACACTGAGGCCCTGGGGACTGTTCTCTGGTTTCAGTGGTGGAGGCAGAGTGTGAGAAGAGCTCAGCCACTACTTACTTCTGGTACCGAGAGGCTTTGGACATCTCCAACTCCATCTCTGAGAGTGGAGGCCTCAACTGGAAGATGACACTGTGCCTCCTTGTGGCCTGGAGCATTGTGGGCATGGCTGTCGTCAAAGGCATCCAGTCCTCTGGCAAGGTGAGTTGGAGGAGGGCAGCAAAAACTAATGTAAAAGGCAGGGGCTGAATTTCCGATTCACCAATTTAGGGCTCTTCAGGTGGACTGGACCTCTGGATGGCTCAGAAATGGCACTGGTCCATAAGGAGGGAGCCTGTATTGTTGCAGGGTTGGTGACTGCAGCTCTCCATGTGTGAGCTCGATGGGAAACCAGTGCCCTGGCCCTGCCTGCCACTGTGCTCAGATGATTCAGGCCTGCACCATAGACATTAAATAGAAGAAAAAGTAGAAATATTGACCCAGGGACATCTGTCTAAATTCTAGTCCTCAGATTCCCAAGTAAACCCCTAAAGTCAGCTGCTCTGAGTGATTTGGGATAAATACCTTGAGGCTGCCATGTCTATAGCTAAAGGGCTGGGTGCACAGGTGGGTGCTCTGAGTCTTGGAGGTAGCTCTCCAGTGGTTCAGTCCCTGAGGTGGTGTGCACCAGCCAACCCCTGCATGCCTTCCCCTCACAGCCAAGTCCCTTCTAAAGAAGGGCCCTTTTTTATTTGTCACCTTTCAGTATTCATGGACTTCTAGAAATAAGGAAGATTCTGAAGTCCTATTCACTCATTTTATAGGTAAAGTAGCTAAGCCAGGAAAGGGAAGGTACCTCCTCTAATGTGTTTCAGCCTGTCAGTCTCAGAGCTGCAACTGAGGATCCATGTTCTCCAGTGAACTTGATAAAGCAGCAAGATAAGCTCTGGAAAGGTGGTGTCATCCTAGCCACTGATCTCTCCCCTGCAGAGGCCAAAGCAACAGCTGACACTTCATGGCACTTGTCAGGACTGTCATGTATATGAACACTTGTGGTCCTCAACCCCATGAATTAGGAATTATTGCACCTATTGTAGAAATAGGGAAATGGGGACACACTGAAGTTAAGTAAACAATAGGCTACATAGCTGGTAAGTAGTAGAGGCAGAGTCAAATCTTAGTTTGTTAGCTCTGAATACACATCCTTTTAGTCTCTGTGCCATCCAACATGTGGCCCTGAGGTTTGTGTCAGAGCAGCAGATGTTTATAATCCAGGCTTACAAGACCTAGACCTCTTTCTGATGGTCTTTGCTTGGGGATTTCCCTGTGTTTTTATGTCATATAACTCTAAGGACATGGAGACTCTTTGAAGGATCCGTTGGGAAAATGAGGGGGACAGCTCCAGAGTTCCCTTATCCTTTGGCAGCCACTTGCCCAGCCTACCAGTCCTTAGGCAATAAAGCCTCAGGCACAGCCATGCTGACTCCAGCTTGTCCCGTTCCTCCTTCTGCCTGGGCTTAGAGCCAGATGGGTGGTGGGTTTTGGACCTGTGCCTGGGGGTTCTAGGGCTCTGTTTTCCATTGCTTGGTATCAAGAAGATGTTCTCGTGGCCTGCTGTGAACAATGAGAGGCATGCCAGCTGCAAGAAGGGCGCTGTTGATGCTGAGCCCCTATCCTCTCTGCAGGTGATGTATTTCAGCTCCCTTTTCCCCTATGTGGTGCTGGCCTGCTTCCTGGTTCGAGGGCTGCTGCTGAGAGGGGCGATTGATGGTATCCTACACATGTTCACTCCCAAGGTAAGAACTGCATCTCTCACTTTCTAGAGGACATTGACAGGTCCAAATGTCCCGGTCAGCTTTGTCCAGTTCAATATACACTGAGCACCTGCTGTGTGTCAGGTGTCTCACCAGGCCCTGGAGGGGTGCATTAGAGAAGGGATAAGCTCTACCTTCAAGGTTCTGAGGAGAAGGATATCACATCAATTTGAGTGGACCCAGAAAGATGTCAGGGGTGACATGACATCTGAAATAAGCCTTAGGGAGCAGGTAGGATTTCATTGAGTGCCAGTAGGACATTGTAGTCAAAAGGAATCATGGGAGAAAGGGTATGGAAAAGCTATGACTAATTCATGAGGAAATGATGGAGTTCAGGTTTGGCAGAGACATGAGATGGGTACAGGAAGTATCATTCATTCATTTACTCATGACGAGGTTTCATTTCATGGATGTGTGACAGTAGAGATCCCCTGAGACTGCAGCCCATGGGCTCAGAGTCAGAACTTGGCTAGCTAATTAGAAGCTACAGTGATCAGTAGTTCCACCTAGCACATGTTCACACACACACACACACACACACACACACACACACACACACACCCCTTTACACAGGCTGTTTATGCAAGATAACAAAATGAGAACCCAGATCTAACAGGGTCTGAAATTCCAGTCCCTTCTGACTCCCTTGCTGTGCTGCTGTGAGTAGGCTTCTAAAATTTGGAAAGTGGTCTTGATACACACTACCCCTAATGCCCACACAGCGTGCAGTGGCCCTAGGCATCCTTAGATCAAGCCACCTGAGGTTTCTATATGAGTACCACAAAGCCTCCCTCTGTGAGGCACTTAGTGATTCTCTGGAGGCATGAATGTGAACTCTAGCTAGGCTGCTAGCTGTAGGGTTATTGTGAACACAAGATAACTGACAAAGAAGAAAAAATTGCCAACCCGGTTTCTTTTGGGTAAGTGGCCACGAAAAGATAGCTAACTGCTCTTAAAATTACTTCAGTTACAGTCTAGAATCATGATCAAAAGTGTTCATTTGAGTTTCTAAGCTTCATGGGGAATTATATGCCCAGATGATGTTCATCAATGTGGAGATTAAAAAAATCTCCAAATAGGTCTCTTGATGGTGTTAAGGGATCAAGTGGAACAGATTCATTGAAATCAGCCACTGATTCCAACATATAGTGCTGCTCCCTGCTGGATTCAGATACTCTAAAACATCTCTTTAATTATTCAATGTCTCAGGCTGTAAACCTATGTCTAACAAGAATTCTTAAGAAATAAAATAGTACAGAAGCCATTAAAGAGCCTTCATAAGCCCTCCTGATTCCATTCCTTCCCTTTCTGACAATAAGCATTGTCTTAGTTCACTCCTGCTGTTATAACAAAATACTTTAGACCAGGTAGTTGATTAGCAATAGAAATTTATTGCTTACAGTCCAAGAGTCTGAGAAGGTCAAAATCAGCACATCAGTAGGCTTGGTATCTGGTAAGAGCTCACCCTTTGCTTCAAGAATGACTTTTTGGGGGCTGGGGGTTTAGCTCAGTGGCATAAGCGCCTGCCTTGCAAGTGGGTGGTCATGAGTTCAATCCCCAGAACTGATAAAAAAGAAAAAGAAAAAAAAAATCCTTCTGTGACTTTCTTTTTGTTTAAATTTCTTTTGAATACATGTATGCACTACACCCAGTTTTACTGCTTTATAGTATCCCACCATACTATTCACTGTGTAGTTGAGGATCATTTAAACTATCTCCATTTTTCATCACTGCTAATAATGCTCCAGTAAACATTACAGGGGTCTCTATGTGCACAAGTTTCTTTACGGTATATATGCTTAAGAGTGGAATTACTGTTTCAAAGGTATGGATATCTTCAGCCAAAATGCTCTCTAAAATGATTGTATTTGTTAACATTCTTGCCAGTTGTATTAGAGAATCCACATTTGTCAGACTTTAATTTTTGCCTATATGATGGATAGGAAATGAGAGGAATGAATTATGAACAAGACTGTGTTATTCCATTTCCTGAATGTTTAGGAAATTGGGTGATTCTACCTTAGCGTTTTGCAGAGATCAGAGTGTTCATGACTTGAGACTTTAAAAATCATATCCAGGAGACTCTAAAGGAGCCAAGTCCTTAAGAACCAGCATGGTGCAACCCGTACCCCATATGACTCTGACTTCAATGTCTGAGCAAAGGCTGGTAGCCCATCTTGACATCCTGTCCTCTGGGAAGTTCTGTGATTCAGCTCCTGCCCACAACATTAAGAGGCTGAGTTGAGCAGGTAGGTGAGGGTTAAAGGGCCTCAAAGGCCAAACTCCTTTTTCAAGGATCATGAACAGTTTGTGCCACTGTCTGCTTGAGATAAGAGATCAACTGAGGTAAAGCTCTTTGTTTATAAATTCTTCCATGACATCTGCAAAAAAGGTAGGTTCTCTCTCAGAGACAGGCACCAACAGTTCATGTGGGGCAAATGACAAGTACAGAGCTGTGACTATTTCACCTCAGGATGAGGGAGACATGAGGGACCCTGCAAGCCATTTCAAGTTCTTGCCCTAGTGCTATAGAGTGTCAGGTCACTTGCCCACAGCTGCCCACTCTGGGTACTGTTCCATTATATAAACTACAATGTAAATGATGTCTGTAGGGGTTGTACCATTTGACAGCTTGGAAAAAATTTTTTTAAAAATTCTTTTTCGACCAGAACATCTCAGAACCCATGTAGAAGAAGTATAGGGTTGCTATGGATTTTGTTAAGTGAACTGGAAAGTCTTTCCTCCTATGCAGTCTTCCATCATCAGAAGTAATGCAGGCTGTAAGAGCTGAACTTTCAATTTGTGCCTTTGAGCAGCTACTGGGTATGATGACTGCAGTATGGCCAGGGTGCCAGAATAACTCACTGGTGCCTCTGGTGGGACAGTAAATGAATGGTGTTCATGTCTAAAGAACTTCTTGAATTTCCTAGGCAGCTTTTTCTCCTGATTACTAGTTAGAAACTCGGATCAATATGGGACTATGCATACAATTTTCTCAACACACAGTGGTGGATTCTGGTGGGTTTTCTGGTGAGTTTTCCAGACCTGTTCTGGTTCCTGGAATTCAGCAAAGAACAAAGAAGACAAACTTTCTGGCCCAAACTCTCAGGGAATGTTTACCAAAAATCTCAATTGATCATATCCTTTGGCCTAGTGATTCTGCTTTTAGGAATTTATCTTGCAGATGTACTTACAGATAAGCAAAATAACCAGTGTATAGAATTGATCATTACACTGTTTTAGTAGCAAAAGACTAAAAACACTTCCAGTGCTACCACTGATTTTTCATTCATTCAAAGAAACTTGACTGAATTCCCAATATGTGCCAGGCCCTGTTCTGGTTCTTGGAATTCAGCAGAGAATAAAACAGACAAACTTTCTGGCCCTCATGGAATCTATGTGCTGTGGGGAGGAAATAGATGATCAAGATGAAGAATTATTGACTGGTGTTGCTAGAAAGAAAAATAAAGCAGAGAAAGAAGGGCTAAGACATTTGGGCAGAGAGATGAGTTTTAGAAGGTGTAGCACAGGAAAGCCTCTCTGAGAACGTGGTATTTGAATGAAGACTTAGAGGAGGTGAGGAACAGGCCACGTGGAAACTTGGAAGTCAGGCATTTCATTCCAAACAGTGGGGCAGTGAGTGCAAAGGGCTTGAGTTTGGAGTGTCCTGTACATTCAAGTAGGCCAGTGTGGCTGGTAAAAACAGGTGGGAGGGCAGTGCAGTGGCAGATCATGAGAGTCTGGTAGGACTCTCAAGTAAGGATTTTGACACTTCTATAAGCCACTAGAAAGTTCTGGACATAGGAGAAGCATGATCTGACCACTTTAAGCATTTTAAGGAGCTGTAATAGAGAATCTGAGGGGTCGAAGGGAGAACAGAGAAACTGCTGGAAGGATCACCCAGGGGACAGGTGATTGGTATGAGCCCAGGCAGCAATGGGGCAATGAGAAGTGGTTGGGATGAAGATGAACTGAGGAATCAGAGTCAACAGGATTTGTTTCAGGATGAGGTGTGATATGAGAGGAGGACAGGAATGTCCAGGTTGACACCAGAGTCTTTGGTGAGCAACCAGGAAGATGGAGTTGGCATGTACAGAAAAGGGGAAGGTGGTGGCAGGAGCAGATCTGGTGAGAGACATTCAGATTATTATTTTGGATATGACAGTTTTTTTTAAATTCAAATAGATATTCAAGTTGAATATGCAGCTATATATATGAATCTGGAGGTCGTGGTTGTAGGTTCAGATTCAGGAGTCTGGAGTAATAGAATTGAAAGCCTCATATTGGTTTACAATCACCTGGAGAATATCAGAGAGCAAAACTGCATTGAGCACTTGAAGCTCCAGTATTTGTAGGTTGTGGAAGGAATAGCTGGTAAGGGAGGAGATAGAGGACAAGCGAGGCACATCCATCCTAGAGGCAGAGTAGGGAAAATTCTTGAAGAGAAAGGGTGTGGTCAGTTGTGTCCAAACCTGCTGAGAGGTCAAGTGATGAGGACAGAAATGACTCATTACTCTGAAACAGCGGTATCGCTGGTAACCTTGACAAAAGCTATTTTGGTGGAGTACTGGAGAGAAAATCTAGTAGTAATAGGTTGAAAGAGAATGGTAGATGAAGAATTAGAGACAAATATTTGAGGACATTTATTTTAAGAGTTTTGCAGTAGAAGGAAACAGATGAATGAGAAATAGGATAGCAAGAGGAGAGGGCTATGGGCTCAAGGGTATTATTTCAGAATTTTATATGATGATAAAAATAATCCATCACACTCTGCTTGTTGGAATTTAAAATGGTGCAGTCACTCTGGAACATAGTCTAGCAGTTCCTTCAAAGGTTAACTAGAAATAGCGCATGCTCCAGCAATTCCACTCTTAGGCCCATATCCAAGAGAACTGGTAGCATATGTTCACTCAAAAACCTGAACATGAATGTTCATAGTGAGATTCATAATGAGAAAAAAGTAGAAACACCCTAAATGTCCA